AAAAAAATAATATTGAGTATTGCTTTGGCGAGCAATGTGTTTTAATGTGAAAAACGACTTTATGGTCGTGAATGTTTTGTGCGAGTTCTACACACACACGTGCGCACCCATAATGCAAAAAAAAAAAAAATGTTTATTGCAATATAAATGTGTAAATACATTGTAAAAAGAAAGTCGAATTTTGCCGAATTATCGAATTTATTATTATATTTTGGAGGAAAAAAAGAACCAAATGGAAATTTGAGATTTAAAATCGACGAGTATATTTTTTTTTGTATAAGTAATTTATTGAATATACTTTTTTTGATTGCAATTATAAATTTAATTAATAATTGTACTTGTAAGTATAATTAATTAATTATACTTTTAATTAATTGTAAATTAATTAAATATAAATATGATAAAATATATTAAATTAATAAAATATATTCAATAAATTAATTAAATATTTTTGAAAATGAAGTAAATTAACGGAAATTTTTTATTTAAATGAAATATATTTGATAAATTAATGAAAATTTTTATTAGTTGAAATTTTGATAAATTAATAAAAAATTTCAATTAAAATAAAATATATTTGTTAAATTAATGGAAATTTTTATTTTAAACGAAATATTTTTGATAAATTTAATGAAAATTTTATCATTAAAATGAAATATATTTGATAAATTAATGAAAATTTTTATTAGTTGAAATTTTGAGAAATTATTGAAAATTTTTTATTAAAGTGAAATATATTTTATAAATTAATGGAAATTTTGAATTAAACCAAATGTATTTTGTAAATTTAATGGAAATTTTTAATTAAATTAAAACATATTTAACAAATTTAATAAAATTTTTATTAGTTGAAATATTGTTGAAAAATTAATGCAAATTTTTTATTAAAAAATTAAATATATTTGATAAGTGAATGAAAATTTTTAATTAAACTGAAATATATTTGAGCTGCCGGATCAAAAAAATATTCTTCGATCCGGCAGCTCGTTTAATAAATTTAATGGAATTTAAATTTCATTAAATAAATAAATAAAAAAATTTTTTATTAGTTGAAATATATTTGATAAATTAATTAAAAATTATTATTAAGAATAATTAAAATTAAAAATATTGAAAATATTTTTTAAAAAAATATTTTGATTACATAAATAAAAATTTTCAAATTATAAATATTTTATTACAAAACTTTATTAAAAATATTTGATAAATTAATGAAAATTGAAATAAATTCGTCGATTATTGAACAAATTTGGAGAGTTAAGTAAATAATAAGAATTGAACACGACTTTCTTTTTACTGTGTGTGGGAATAAAATGTTATATAGAAGATATTATATCTGAATAAGAATAACGATAAAGTACAATACCATTTTGTTGCTCGAACTTGTTGACACGCATTTCCGCCAAAAATAAAAAAAATTTCATTTTTAATCTCCGTAAATCGATGAAAATTTTCTTCTTTGTCAACAATATTATTGACAAAAATTTTAGTGTTGAATTTAATAAATAATTCATAATCAATAATTAAATGAAATTAAATATAATATCAAAATATTAGTGTTGAAAAAAATATATTTGTCGCGAAATGTGTGCCCGAGTTCTGCTCTTCTTTATTGTTAATTTTGTCTTTTGAAAAAAACCTCAATTTTTATTTTTCGGCGAGCGAAGAATTATTACTTTTTTTTTAGTTTCCTTTATTGTAAATTATATATATGATTTTCTCTTCTCCATAAATAGTTTTAGAGAAACTAAATTTCCATTTAGAGCAAGGAAAATAGTTTTTGAAAATAATTTTTGTAGTTGCGCGCTTGAAATAATATTTTAATGTTCATTTTCCACGTGGAGATAATTTTTGTAAATTATTTGTTTAATTTTTGTTGAAAACTTTTTCATTTCTTTTTTTTTTTTTTTTTTTTGCGAAAATTGAAGAGAATTTTCAGCTTAGGTATTTTTTTGTTGGGGTTATAAAAATAGTTTTTGTTGCTTTTGTTTGTAAAAGAAAATTTTTGCTGTTATACTTTTTCTTGCTTTACTTTGCTTTTATTGTTTTTAATCATTTTCTTTGTTTTTTCATTGTTTTGTGAAAATAATTTCATTTATGGAAATTTTTTGAATATCTGTAATAATTGTAGATAAATTATTAATTTATAAATAAATTATTATATAATTTTTCATGAATGAATTATTATTATATAATTTTTTATAAATAAATTATTAATGTATTTATAATTATCGTATTATTTTTGAAAATGTCGAAAGAAATTTTTACTGAAATTATTTTCACGCTGTTTTTTATTTTCTTTCTTTTTCTCTGTTTTTCATTATGCCTTGAAAATAATTTCATTTGGAAATTTCTGAATATTTATTTATAGTTCTATTTATACACTGACAAAAATTTGATTCAATTATAATTAAAAATTAATGAATTGTTTATTATCAATTAAATATTTATTTGAATCGAATAATTTTTAATCAATCAGATAAATTTGAATCAATTAATTATTTTGAACCAATGATTTCGGTATTTGAAGAAAATTTACAAGAGTAAAAATTATTTGACGTTCAAAATATTTATTTGAAAATAGACTTTGAATCGAGTGAAAAAATATTTAAATTGAAATTTGAAAATATTTGTGAATTAAATTTTTTTTCAGTGTGTTTATTGCATTTTTAATTATTATTGTATTTTCAAAAAAGTTCATAGAAATTTTTTTTTTGAACTGAAATTATTTTCACGCTACATTTATAATAGTAATTGTGGAAAAAAATCAATTTAATTAAAAAAAATGTGAAATGATTAAAATTTTAATGAATGAAGTAAGTTTCTTGTTTGTAATATTGTTATTGATTCATCGTTTCGTGGAATGAATATTTTTTCTATTCATCATCATTTTTCTAATCATTCTTTTGATTTCTACCTTTGAGAGTTGCGACGTTCTTCTCTTTCATAATTTAATAATTATCTTAATCATTTTTCTTTCAGTTCTTCTTATTTATAAAAATGCATGCATTCATATTCGCTGTGTAGTAGAAATTATCACGTTTTTTTTTGCCTTTTTACTTTGTATTTTTCACTATAATAATAATTATTATTTCAGAAAACAATTATCATTAACAGAAAATAATTATTATTAACATAAAAGTTATTGACGGAATAAAATTATAATTGACAGAAATGAATTTTTATTGACAGTAAAAAATTATAATTGACAAAAAAACAATTAAAATTGACGGGAAAAAATTATAATTGACAGAAAAAATTATAATTCGCAGAAGGAAATTGCAATTGAGAGAAAATAATTATAATTGTCATAAAAAAATTGTAATTGACAAAAAACCATCATAATTGACGGAAAAAAAATTATAATTGCCAAAAAGCATATAATTGACAGAAAAAAATTATAAAATTGACAGAAAAAAATTTTAATTGACGGAAAATAATTATAATTGTCATGAAAAAATTTTTATTGACGGAAAAAAATTATAATTGACAGAAATGAAGTTTTATTGACAGAAAAAAATTATAAGCGACAAAAAAACAAACATAATTGACAGAAAAAACTTGTAATTGACAGAAAACAATTACAATTGACAGAAAAGAATTTTCATTGACAGTAAAAAATTATAATTGACAAAAAACAATTATTATAATTGACGAAAAAATATTGTAATTGACAAAAAAGAAATATAATTGACAGAAAAAACTTGTAATTGACATAAAACAATTATAATTGACAGAAGTGAATTTTTATTGACAGAAAAAAATATAATAATTGACAAAAAACAATTATAATTGACGAAAAAATATTGTAATTGACAAAAAAGAAATATAATTGACAGAAAACAATTATAATTGACAGAAAAGAATTTTTATTAACAGAAGAAATTTTTGGTGAAGTCAAAAAAAATGTTGTCTCTTTAAACAAAAATTGGCAATGAGTTTATTAACAAAATTAAAAATATTTTTACAAAATATCAACAACAACAACAAAAAAAACGTGAAAATTTCTAAATATTTTTTATTTACTAATCATTTTTACAGGCTTTTTTAACACACATCAAGCATATTTTCTAATATTAAAATTTATTATTTCTATATATAAATAAACAAATTCTCAAACAAATTCCTTTTTAAAAAAAAAAGAATTTAATCAATTTTTACTTTTCCATACTTCATGAGATATACTCGAGGTTTGTCAGAAAATATTTTTTGCAATTGTCTCACAAACTTTTATTTCATTTGAATTTGCAAATAATTACATTTTAGTTGAAAATTTAATTAATTTATTAATTTTAATTTATAAACTACAAATTAAAATAAAATAGTTTGAATAGAATTTTTTTTCTATTTGTAATTAATAATTTAAATTTTTGCAAATTTGTTTTTATTTTTTTTTTAATTGAGTGTTTTTATTAGAGTCAATAATAATTAAGAGTTAATTTAATTAATTAAATTAAGATTAATTTAGTTTATTTAATTCATTCAATTAGTGTTAATTTAATTCATTTAATTATAATTAATTTAATTAGAGTTCATTTAATTATAATTAATTTAATTAGAGTTCATTATTTTAATTAAAGTTAATTTAATTAGAGTTCATTAAATGAAAGTTAATTTAACTAGAGAGAAGAATTAATTTTTAATAAAGAGAAATATTAAAGAAAAAAGAAAAAGAAAAATATGGAAAGTATTTTAAGTAATGAAATTGAAATGAAAATATTAAAAAAAATAATAAAATTAAAAGTAGATATGAAAAATATTAAAAAATAAAAAGGAAAAAATAATATGGAAAGTATAATATAATTTTAAATAATGAAATTGAGATGAAAATGAAAATATTAAAAGTAGTAAAGAATAATAATTAAAAAGGAAGATGAAAATTTATTTCGAAACTAATTAATTAATTTACAAATAAAATTTATTTTCGCTTTCTAATTTAACAATTAAAAGCATTTTGGTCGTTGAGAATATGAAAATTTATAAATTTGTCTATTTTGTAGGCGTCCTGTACCCACTATTCCTCCCCGAATTCCTGACAGACCGTATTCTGGACGACTTAATTGAGCTAGAAACCTCAATTCCTGTGTGCACCGACTGTACCTGCGACGATAAATTTTTGTCGTGGAAATAAAAAACAAAAAAAAAGAGTTGCCGGATATTCCAGCCAAGGAGGTTTTTTTTCCGAGAGACATCAGCCTCCACACAAGTCCAGGTGAATTTTCTGATGCTTAGAGAAGATGAGATGGAATCGAAGAAGAATGGATGAGAGAAAAAAAAAGGCACGTGATAGAAAATGCGAGATTATAAATGGTAAAAAAAAAAAAGAAAAGGACCGTACAAGTTTTGAAAAACAAAAATTTTTCCTTCCTTGTACTCGACTTTTTTCTCTTTGTTATATAATTTTTTTTTTTTTATTTATAAGACGGTACAATATTTTAACAGCCTCTATAAAAGTATTAGAAAATAAAACTCGTATTTGCCTCACGAGTCGATGATGAGAATCTTTTCATTGAATGAAAAATTAAATAGGAGTGAGTACCGTGGCTGTTGAATCGATTTTCTAAATAAAATTTTACTGTGATTTAAATTGAAATTGAATCGAAATTGAATTTGCTTACAAAGCACATTTTTTTCCGAATCAAAAAAAAAAAAAAAAAAATTTTGAGAATATGAACTTTCTTTCATATAATTTTTCTTACCGTCCAATTTTTTTTTTTTTTTTTTGATAACTTAACGAAAATAAAAAGGTCTTTAGAAAATTTTTCTTTTCCTTTTTTTTTAAATAGACAAGAAACCTTAATCAGTATTTTAATGATTATACAGCCACTCTCGCTCGTTGAAAGTGAGAGAGAAAGATTAATTTTGTAACTGGAAAAACTAAAGCATAGAAGACAACCCAATTACCTCGATGATCATTGAAGAGTTAATAACTTTTCTGAGACATTTTATATAATGTATATTTGTATTTCGAATTATTCGTGATAATGGGCATAAATTGATGATAATTTCACCTCCAAAACCCCCTTTTCCCCCCCCTTTGTGTAAAACTTTCGTCTTCGAAAAATTTCTGTAAATTATCTGTAGAATATTTAATTTTGAAAGCGCGATTTTTCAAAGAAAAAAAAAATTTACAGTAATTTTTCGTAAAGGTTTACTATAATGGTAGAAATAAATAAGAAAACAACGAATTATTCTTAAAAATCCGATTCGCTTGATATTAACTGTATATATATATTCCTGAAAATTACTCGTCTGATCAGATTTTTTTTATTTCCCATAATTCATTGTTGTAATTTTTTTTTGTAATATTTATAATATTGAGGTGAATCGGGTAAGAAAAAATGATTCATTAACGAGCAACAATGCTAATTGTACATAAAAAAATGAAAATAGTATTTTGACATAAAAGGGACTTAAAAACTGTTTTCTATAAAAAAAAAAGAAATTTACCAATTTTTTGCAGAATATTTTTAAGTCTCATAATTCAGAGTGAATGAATTTTAGGTTTAATTTTTTCCTACATTTTTATTTTTGCCAGTATGCAAAAAAAAAAAAAATTCTGTTTTTTTTTTGAGAGACTTGGAATGTAAATAATATATCTTTAAAAAAAAAAAGAAAAACGTAGAGTGAAGAAAATAAATAATTTAATAACAATTATATTAAACCGAAGATATTTATCATTTTTCCTGAAAAATTTATAAACTAAAAAATTAATTAATTTATTGTTTAATAAATTATTGCTGAAATAATAAATTAATAAATTATTTATAAATTAAGAAATTAATGAATGAATTATGAATGAATAAATAATTAATACTTGATAACAATTAAAATATATATTTATTTAAATATAAACAGTATTTTTTTTATCTAAAATCGAGAAGTACAGCAAAAATATTTTTAGTTCAAAAAATTTTTTCTTTAAATGTTTCCAGTGCAAAAGATATGTTTTGTCGATTTTGTGCAATTTTTTTTTCTCACTTATGAGAAAAAGTTATTTATACAATATATTAATTTTTACATTTATTATCTAAAAGTATTACTTTTAGGATGATAAAAATTCGATTATATTTACAAATTGCATGAAGGTGATTGATATGATTCGTATTTTACAGTAAATGATTTTTTTCGTGGATATAAAAATAGATTTTTTTAAAATATTTAAAACAATTATTGCAATTCAATTATCGTGGATATTAGGAAAAAAACTTCTCCATTATTCAATGAGAATAAATTTTCTTTCTGAAAAATCTTCTTTCAACGTAAATTTAGAAATAAATATATATGTTTTTATAATTTTCTATATTATTTTTTTTTTTTTTTCCAGTTCCTAAAGTTCTCGACGTTCAAATGAGCAAAATTCATTAATTTTTCCTACAAATTAAAAATTTTATCACCGTAATTTTGCCGTAATTAATTTTTCGTTAAAAAAATAAAAGATAATTGATTATAAAGCTAATTTAGATTTTTAATTTGTTATGACAATCAGAACAAAATTTATTTATATTTAAATAAATAAATAACAAAAAAGTAACTTATAAAAATGAAATTAAAATATTTTTAATAGACAATATTTTGTTCACGTTTAAAAAAAATTTATAAAGTTAATTTAGTCTTTAGTTCTTATTACAATCAGTAATAAAAATATTTTGTTCGCATTAAAAAAAATTAATTATAAAGCTAATTTAGTTTTTTAATTTTTACTACCATCAGTAATAAACGAAAATATTTCGTTAACGTTTAAAAAAAATGAAATAAAATTAATTTAGATTTTTCATTTTTATTACAATGAAAATATTTATAATAAAACATATTTTTTTCACGTTTAAAAAAATTAATTATAAACTTAATTTAGTTTTTTAATTTTTATTATAATCAAAAATATTTTTAGTAAAAAATATTTCGTTTATTTGAACGTTTAAAACTTATTGAATTATTTCTATTGTATTTTTAAATTTAATGTTGAAATTAAAGTATTTTTTTCGCTATTTTTTTTTAATGACCTCTCATTGAATAAGTTTTTCTTTGACCTACAATAAATAGTTGTGAAAAAATGGACATTAAGAGTTCAATGATATTTGTAAAAAATGTGAGAAGTAGAAAAATTCAGTAGAAGAATTAAGAAAGTGGAAATTATTGGAAGTGGAAATTATTTTGCAGAAAATGGAAAAAATTATTTGCGAAAATAGTTTCTTACGGAAGGAAATTGAAAAAGAATTTATCGTTTTTTTAATTGACCGTTTAAATTGAAAATTTAATTAATAATCTTTTCTTTAAATTCACTAATTTAAATAAAAGTTGGAAAATATTTAATATATAAATTAACAAATTTAAATAAAAGACTGTTAATTAAATTTAACAATAAAATTTAAATTAAATTTTTTTTAACAATAAAATTTTAATTAAATTTATTTTAACAATAAAATTTTAATTAAATTAAATTTGAAAAAATAATTTTAATTAAATTAAATTTGAGAATAAAATTTGTTTAGCTATCTTTGTCACAAGATTATTAAAAATCACAGAATTCTTCATTTTTCTTTAGAAAAAATTGAATTAACTTCTTCTTTTCAAGAAGAAATACTTTCTTTCTGTATTAATTTAAATTTTTTCCGAAAAACATTTTTCTTTCTAAGAAAGAAATTTCGATGTTAAATATTTTTTTTCTAATATGGATAAATACCTTTTTTTTCTTAAATTGGCAGTTTAACATCGATGAATGAGCAGGAATTTAGGCAAAGATCTGCCAATATCACAAAAAATTTCACTTTTTCTTTCAAAAAGAGATTGTGCGAGATAATTATTTTCAAAAATATTTTGATGTTTCTTGGAATTTTTGTGTCTTAAGTTTTCTTTTTCAAAAATTTTTCTTCATTTACTCGACTTTCAAATTTTCAATGTGTTCTGTAATTACTTCCTGTGTCGATTGTTTGAAAGCTGTGTTCATTGTTTCGTACGTTTTTTCTATTAATTGAGGTAGATCGTCTTTTGTGAGATTAGTCGTTGAAATTGCGGGAAGAATCGTAATGTAGCTTTTCCCTGAAAACAAAAATTGAATTTTATACTTTTTTTCAGCAAGTGTTGAAATATTAAACAAAATTAATTTTTCTTTCATTAAAAATTTATCATAATGAGAAAATCAGTTTTTGAAAATGTTTTGAAAATAATTTTTATAAATAGATTCTCTAAATAATTTTTTTAAATAAATTCTATAAATAATTTTTATAAATAAATGCTCTAAATAATTTTTATAAATAAATTCTCTGAAAATTCCTGAAATTCCTGAAAATTATTTTTTAAATTCTCTAAATAATTTTTAATAAATAAATTCTCTAAATAGTTTCATGTTAAATATTTGTTCGTAAAAGGAGAATTTCTCATTAAAAAAAGATAAAAGAAAATAATTTCTATAAACTTGATAAATTCATATTTAATTATTTAGTTGAAAAAAACTTCTCTTCGATTAAAAAAAATAATTATTTGTTCTCTTCGATAAAAAATAGATGAAAGAAAATTATTTTTTTTCAAATAATAAAGAAAATATACCGGAATCGAATTTTTTTGATTTATCGTTTAAATAGTAATATTTCGAAACGACGACTGGTTGTATTGGAACTTGAGAAGCAATTGCAACGTGAAATCCTCCTTTCTTGAATGGAAGCAGAGTCGTTGAGGAATGTCTCTTTCCTTCAGGAAACATGAGAACTTTTGCCTGAAAATAAAAAAAAACCCAGAAAATAACACTTTTCTTTTCAAAAATATTCAAAAATAATAATTAAATTTCTTTTTTCCTAAATTACCCGTCTTGCTTTGATAATTTCAGCAGTTGAATTAAGAGTGGAATGTGATTCAGCGCCTTTAACACGATCAATAAATATTGTGCCCCAAAGCCACGAGGCTAATCCAAATGTTCCCAAATAGAGAACTTGTTTCTTCGAAATCACAGTGCAACGTTCAAGAACGGGCCAAAGTTCAGCCAATACTGTAAATATTTTTTTTCTCAAAAAAAACTTTACGAATTTTATTTTCTTTCACAATTATTACTTATTTATGTAAAAATATGATAATTTTCAAATATTTATAGGTTCGAAAAAAAGAAATGAACTCACCGCAAAGATCCAAGGAACTTTGATGATTGACAAAAACAATGCATCCTGAATCACGAACAATATTTTCTTTCCCACGAATATGAAAATCCATTCCCAGCAATTTTGCTACTTGTCTACATCCCCATGCTGGTATTCTGCAAATAAATATATTTTTGTATTTTTATTTAATTAAAAATATAAATTAAGTACAGACTCTCGATAAATTGAATCTCAAGGGACGAAGAAAAAGTTTTAATTGACGATTTTATTTATCGAATGTTTTTCCAAATTTCCAACCAGAAAACAATTTATTAAGAAAATCAATTACATAATCGAAAATTTAATTTTTAAGGGACAAAGAAAATAATTTTTAATTATCGACGATTTTATTTATCAAATGTTTTTCAAAATTTCCGACTAGAAAACAATTTATTAAAAAAATTCAATTAATCGAAAGTTTAATTATTATTGAGAGTTGAATGAAAAACAGAGTTCGAAAAAAAAATTTAATAATAAAATAATGATTTTATTAGAATAGAATTAATTATATTATTATTTTGTTATTTTAATTAATTTTAATATTATAATATTTTAATTAATTACTTTATTAATTTATTTTTACATAAGAATTGTAAATTTTAATTTATTTCGAAAATTTAATTTAATGTTAGAAAAATTCTGTTATTTGTTGAATAGGTATAAGAATTAATTTTCGAATAAAATTTATTATTCACTCACAATGCGTTTCTCCAGTCGCCTATTTTAATGAACATGAATGGAATACACCATGTCGATGAAATTGCGCTCAATATTATAAAGATGATAAATTTTGCCCGATATCTGGCACCTTCGCTCACTGTGCAAATAATTACCAGAAGAAGAAGCAAAGCGACAATAGCACCACTGCCAGAAACTCCGAGCATCCTGGAAAAAATTTTTCAATAATGGAATAAACTACAATTCATCAGTTAAGTATAATAATAAATTAAATATTTAAGTTACATACATTTTTATTTAAATGATTATTTTACTGGCAAATGTATCAATTATTATTATAAATAATAAAATTCTTCGTAGAAATTCAATTATTTGAAAAAATTTTTAATAAATTTCTCCGACTGAATTTAATTATTTTCCAAAAAAGGTTGATAAAAAATTATTTACAATAATTGAGTTATTATTAATGCCTAGAATTTCAAGAAAATAAATTCTTAGCAAGATTTCAATTGTTTTTAATATTCGATAAAATTTTTTACAATAATTGAATTATTTTCAGTACAATTGCAATAAAATCCCTAGAAAGATTTCAATTATTTTAAAAGAATTTTTGAAATTAAAAAGAATATTATCAGAATTGTTGAAAATAATTGAATTTTTATTAAAACTCTTGAAAATAATTGAATTTAAATAATATTTTTAAAAAATAATTAAAATCTTTCAAGAAATTTAATTGAAATTGTATGGAAAATAATTCAATTAAATTTTGAAAAGTGATTTAAAAAAAACAATTGAATTGTTCAGAAGAATTTTTCGAAATTATTTAATAAAATTTTTCACAAATTAACTAATTTTTTAAAAAATTTATTAAAATTCTTTATAATTAAATTATTTTCTAAAATAATAAAATTCTACGCAGTAATTCAATTATTTTTTAGTAATTTTTAATGAAATTCGCCCCAAGAATTCAATTATTTACAAAATTTTTGAATAAATTCTTTAAAAGAATTGAATTATTTTTAATACAATTTCAATTAAATTTCTGGAAAGATTTTAAGTATTTTTAATAATTAAAATAAACTGTATTATTGTTTTAAAAGTAATTTTAAAAAGTAATTGAATTTTTTCAAAAAAATCCAATTATTCAATTAATTTTTAAAAAATTTGATAAAATTATTTATGATTCAATTATTTTTAAAAACAATTTAATAAAATTATTTACAATTCAATTATATAAAAAAAAATTTGATAAAATTTTTTTAAAATTCAATTAATTTCTAATAAATTTGATAAAATTCTTTAAAATTCAATTATTTTCTATAATAATAAAATTCTACTCAGTAATTCAATTATTTTTAATTGTTTTTAATGAAATTCGCCCCAAGAATTCAATTTATTATTTTCAAAATTTTGTATTAAATTCTTTAAAAGAATTGAATTAATTTGAATACAATTTCAATTAAATTTCTGTAAAGATTCTAAGTACCTATTCTTAATAATTAAAATAAATTTTATTATTGTTTTTAAAAGTAATTTTAAAAAATAATTGAATTGTTTCGAAAAAATCCAATTATTCAATTAATTTTTACAAAATTTGATAAAATTATTTACAATTCAATTAATTTTTTAAAAATATTTTATAATTCAATTAATTTTTAAAAAATTTGATATAATTATTTATAATTCAATTATTTAAAAAAAAAAATTGATAAAATTCTTTATGATTCAATTATTGTCACAAATAATAAAAAAAAAAAAAATTTCAATGTATTTCTAAAAATTTTAATAAATTGTTATTTACATTTTTAAAAATAATCAAAAAGAAACGTTGAGTGTTTCCAAAAAGTTCTTCAAAAAATTCTATTATTTTCAATAATTATTTTCATAATTCGTTACTTTTCAAAATTTTTCATAAAATTTTTCTTCGTAAGAAAATTGAATGTAAAGAAAAAAAAATTATCAAAAAAAATTTTGAAATCAAAAAATCGCAAAAAGAAAAACTAATTTCGAATTACGAACAGACATTTGGAATACAAAAATTACTAATTATAGATTTTTATTTCATTTTTATAAACAAAATTAATTAAAATTTATAATTAACGTTTTTCTACATTTTATAACCATGTTCATTTATCATTAATCAATTTTCGATAACAATATTAAATTACTCCAGAAATAGATTAAAGTTTTTGTTTTAATTTTCCGGAAGAAAAATTTAGAAAAAAAAACTAATCCAGGGACACTTGGATGATGAAATTCCATTACTATATTTATTTAGCTAAATGGAAATTTAATCTTTTTCAATTTCCGAATCATTAAAAATTAAGAAATTTTTGTCTGAATGAGTTTTTCTCGATAACTAGTAATATTTTTCCAAACAAAAAAAAAAGAAGCCAAATTTACTAATGAGCAAGAAAATTTGAAATTCATATAGTTTTAACAGCTAATAAGTCATTACATTTTTTTTAAGAATATTTAATATGTAATTTTCTAAAATTACAATACGCCAATTATGGAAAGACGAAAAAAAAGTTGTAGCACAAAAAAATGTGAAAAATATAAAAATTATAAATTTAAATAAATTAAAGCAATCAGGAGATAATGTTTACATTGAAATAATAATTTTTTTCTGAATAATAAATGAATAATAAATAAATAATAAATATTTTCATGAAATCTTAAATGCTCCGTTAAATGAATTTACAAGGGAAGCAAATTTCCAATTTATTTTTATTTTAAACAAAAAAAAAGAAATGCACAGAAATATGATTGAATGATTAAATAATTTATATAGATAACAATAATATATCAACAATACAAGGTCCAGGCAATCAGTGAGAAATCGTTTTTATTAAAATAGATTCATGGAAATTTTTATTTAGATGACATTTAAAAAAAAAATTGGACAAAGAAATATTTGCAAAAAGAATCTACTACAACTATTTTTTCTTTCTTATTTTTATTTATTTACTTTTGCAATTTTAATAATAGAAATCAAGTAAAGAATAAAATAAACAAGAAAGTTAAAAATTCTCAAGTTTCGTTAAATCAATTATTCATTAGAGAAAAAAAAGTCCAGATTCCAATTATCTATTTTCTCGATTTTTTTATAAAGAAAAATTAAATCTTCAGAAAAAAGCAATTTTTACCAGAATATAAATCTTTTATTAAATTGAATTTCATTTTCGAATTTCTAATTATCTTGAATGATGTAATTATAAAATGATTTCATTGACATAATTAAAATCAAGACTGCCGGCAATAAATAAAAAAAAATAGGAAAATAAAATATATTTGCTTATCAAGAAATAACGTCATATTCGCATTCTCGATAATTTTATATTTAGGATGATTAATAATTCAGGAAAATACTAAAAGATACTCACATTATTAAATAAAAAAAAAATTAACAACAACACCTACGTGTGTATCACTTGAGATTAAAATAAAAATCCAACTGACAATTGCTGTTTAGTCCAGTGATTATAATTTTTCACTGACAAGTGTGTAATGCACGTGTGTATTTATCGAGCGCTTTTGATGGTCGTCTATTTTCGATGAGCATCGTTTATCTCCGTAATTCTGACGTGTTTGAATTTCAAATCTTTTGTAATACATATACTTTTTCTTTCTATTCCTCTCCTCGCAAGTTTTTCTCTTTTTCTTTCTGCAAAAATAGAACAAATTATTATTTCTTTTCATTTTTAATTAGTGAAGAGTAAATAAATTGTGAAATTAAATTTTTTTTTATAGAAAATAAAAAACAAATTTAATAGAAAATAAAAAAAAACAAATTTTATATGAAGATGTTTTGAATGCAAAAATGATCAAAATCGCAGGCCTTGGATCGACTTTCGAGCCAAAAAAATCGCTTTAGTCGATTTAAAACAGAAAAAAAGTTGAAAAAGTCGTTTATTTAATTCAGTGTTGTCACAAAAAATTTTATTTTTTATTTTCCTGATTTCATGCTAAATAAATATTTAAATACTTCTTATTTCTTTTTTCATGGGAAATAAAATTTAAAAATTATATACAATTAAAATATGACCAAAGAATTGAAATTCGGTAAAATCTAAAAAATAATTGAAATTTGGTAAAATCTTTAAAAAATAATTGAAATTTGATAAAATCATTTCAAAATAATTGAGATTTTTAAAAAATGTAATTTTTCGAAAATAATTGATTTTCTAAAACGAATTTTTGTATAATTTAAAAAAAAGTAATTAATTTTTGGAAGAATTTTAATTTACAATTGTGAATATGATTATTTTCTCCAAAATGTTGAAAATGATTCTAAAAAATATTAGTGTTATTTTTTTGTAGGGGAATGTAGTCAAGGTTGGCCTACTGTCTAGGTAGGCCACTCGCGTTTTTTTGTCAAGTTCACTAGCGCCACCTACGCGCATTTTTGTCGAAGCTTGTCTTAGTGAAACCTAACTTTTTGTTCAATTACATTTTCGGAAAATCGAAAATTGTGTTTTCTGTGACGTCGGTACAAAAAAAGCTCAAAAAAAGTTTTGTGCATAATGTGAAAAACCATTAATAAAAGATAAAAAACAAATTGAATCGTCAAGGCAAGTATGCAGAAAATTTGTGGGACTCATGGTTGAAAGGAAAACAAAGTAAAAAATCGAATCCCGAAACGTATTTCTTTATGGTTACAACAATTCGGTAATGTTACTTACTGTCAAGGTCGGCCACTATGTGTTTAAAATGCGCAAAGTTGAGGACGAGCTACTTCATTTGCAAAAACTGCAATTCTGTATAACTCATAATATAATTGATCATCTTATTAATATTTTTATTTAATTTTATTAATATTTTAGTGCAAAACTTTTTTTTATTTATATTTATTTTTTTATATTGTTTATTTTTATTATTTTGTTATTTCATTAAGTTACAAACTGTAAACAATAAAGAATCAATTTTCCGTAACTCCAAACATGTTATTTTATTTTTTAACGATTAATGCCCTTTGAATTTTAAACATGGCCGACCTTGACTGTAATGGCCAACCTGGACTACAAATTTTTTTTTTTTTAAATCTTTATAACTTTTTCATTTTTAAACCTGTCAATTTACTTTGTACAGAAAAAATGTTCCTATTAAACAGGACTTTCCAACCATATACTTCAATTGTCCAAATTCATTTTTAAAAAAAAGTTATAAACAAAAGTCAAAAAGGTGGCCGACCTAGACTATGTTCCCCTATGTATTTGAATTTTCGGAAATATGAAGTCGAAAATATTGAAAATAATAATTGAATTTTAAAAAATTAGAATGACAAAATTCTGAGAATTAGTTTTTTTTCAAAAATATTTTAATATTATTTTTACAACCTAATTTTCATTAATTTTCATTTTTATTAAATTTACACTTGAAGATTTTTCATTACAATTTTTGAGAATTCAATTATTTCCAAAATTTTCAATTAAATTTCTTTTTAAAAATTAATTTTCAAAAATTGTAATAAAATACTTGAAAAAAATGATTTATTTTCAATTAAATTTTACAAAATTTCAATTTTTTCAAAATCTTTTTAATTGTATATTCTGCAACGAAATTTAATTATTTCAAAAATTTTGTTAAAATTCTTTACCATAATATTGATTTATTTTCAATACAATTTCAATAAAATTCCTCGAAAGATAATTATTAATTATTTTAAAAATTGTTAATAAAGTTTTATTTAGATTTTGAAAAGGTATTTAAAAAAACAATTGAATTGTTTCGAAGAATTTTTCGAAACAATTCAATTATTTTCAAAAAAAATTTGATAAAATTTTTTGTAAATCAATTAATTTAAAAAAAAACTTGATAATAATCTTTATATTTCAATTATTTCTTCAAAGAATTCAATTATTTCAAAATTTTTTTTTTAAATTCTTTACAAGAATTGAATAAATTTGAATAAAATTTGTCAAGATTATAAGTATTTTTAATAATGAAAATAAATTTTATTCAAGTTTTTAAAAGTATTTTTAAAAAATAATTGAACAGTTTCGAAAGATTTTTCGAAACAACTCAATTATTCAATTAATTTTTTTAAAATTTGATAAAATTATTTATAATTTAATTTTTTTCTAAATTTTGATAAAATTATTTACAATTCAATTCTTTTTTAAAATGTAATAAAATTCCACGCAGTAATTTAATTATTTTTAATAATTTTTAATGAAAGTCTCTCCAAGAATTCAATTATTTCAAAAATTTTTGATTAAATTCTTTAAAATAATCGAATTATTTTTAATAAAATTTCATTTAAATTTCTGGAAAGATTTAAATTTTTTTTAATAATTAAAACAAATTTTATTAGAATTTCTAAAAATATTTTATTTTATCAAATAATTGAATTGATTTGAAAATTTTTTCGAAACAATTCAATTATTCAATTAACTTTTTAGAAATTTTGATAAAATTATTTATAATTCAATTATTTTCAAACCAATTTCATCAAAATTTTCAATTAAATTTCTTTAAAAGTTAATTTTCAAAAATTTTAATAAAATACTTGAAAAAATGATTTATTTTCAATTAAATTTTACAAAATTTTTAATTTTTCAAAATCTTTTTAATTGTATATTTCAAAAATTTAATTAGAAAAATTATTCAAAAATAACTTTTCAAAGATTTGTCTGTAGTTTTACTTTTTACACTATAAAAATTGATATAAGTTGCATTTTATACTAAAAATAGATAAAAGTCGCATTATTCGAAAATAGTCGAAAAAAGTAAAAAATGTCATAATATCCGAGGTCTGAATTTTTTTTTATAGAAAATAGAAGAAATTAAATTAAATGAAGAATTGAATGTAAAAATTATCAAAATCGAAAAATTGTTTTAATATCGATTGCAATTATAAAATAAATTAAATATTAGTGCTTACAATATTCATTTTTTGTGCAACGAGAATTTATCAGCTTTTGAAGGTCATTTCTTTTCCCAGATTATTCAATTTACTCCTTTTATTTGTCTATTGTATCCTTTTTTTATAGTGAAAAATTCCTTTTTTTATTTTTATTATTCAATTCTAATTAATTTATCTAAAGTTTGATTGGAATTAAATATTTTTTTCCATTTTAATTGTATTTGTTTTGTTTCTAAAATTAAGTTTAAATTAAAATATGTTTCTTTCATAAAAAAGTTAGTCTTAAAGACTTGTTTTCAAATTAAAATTTAATTTCAATGAAAAAAATTTGTAATTTTTAATTTGAAATTTAAATTTGTAATTTTGTATAATAGAATTTAAATTTATTAGAAAATTGTCTAAAGAAATAAAGAAAAATTAAATTTAAAAAAATTTTTTATGAATAAAATCAATTAAAATAAAGGCACATGAACTAAAAATTTTCCTCGTCTGCTTTTCTTTTCTTCGCCTCGACTCTTTGTTTAATTAAACTCAAAAAATCTGAGGAATTTTCTCTTTTTCTGATAATGGGAGACAATTTTTGGAAATTAATTTTATCTCTATTTTTCATTTCAAGTGCTTTTGAAGAATCTCTTAATTTTCCCCCATCGTGATTAATTTCAATTAATTTCTTTCCATTGAGAGAATTATTTTCAATTGATGGTAATTTTTCTATTCCATTGAGACTTTTAATTTCCTTGATGACAAATTCATTACTAACAGAAGAAATGTCGTCGTCAGAATTTTCTGAATTTAACGCCACTTTGTTGACAACTTTCCCACCATTTGAAAATAAAGATTTTTTTCCCCTCCACATTTTTGATGTTTCATTTTTTTCCGTGAAATAAAATTCCTTGCCATTGACATCGTGAATTTCACCTTTTAGAAAGGATAAATATTTTTTCAGTGATAAATAAAATTTTAATTTATCAATCATTCGGGGAAAATTTGAACATCTTGCACTGCTTGATGGAACGACCCAAATTGCAGTATCGTCAATTCTTTCGGGTTGAAGGCCAAAGTAGAAATCGGATTTTCCTGTCTTTGAGGCGAAAACATCGTAAATGCAACGTCCGTTAAATACGGCGATTTTTGGTTTGAATTGTTGTAATTTTTTTCTGATAATTATTGAACCTTGTTTAATTTCAGTTCGAGTTAAATCGGCTGATGATCGCGTGGCTCGATCGACGATATTTGTGAGGCCAATTCCATAATTTAAAAGTTGTTCGTCTTCCTCGAAATTTATAAAGTTTGACACAAGTCCAGATTCGTGGAGGAGTTTGTAAAAATGATTGCCCGGACCAGCGTAATAACGTCCTCGATAAGCGGCAGTGAGACTTGGATTTATTCCAACGAAAACAATGTCCAGGTCCATTTTTAAATAGTCGGGAAGTGGAGGACTATTTTTTTGCACTTCCTCTTCCGTGAGGCCATTGAATCTATTCATTTTTGCCTTTGGCTTTGAGTTAATTTCCGGCAGTGTCCTTTTTTTCAATTTACTCAAAGACAGTGGACGAGCCATTTTTATTTCAACTGAAAGTCAAACATAAGTAATGTCATTAATGAATTTTCTTTTAGAATTGAATTTTTAATAAAATAAATTTTCTTTTAGAATATAATTATTTTCAGAAATCTTAAATTTAAATATTTGTAAAAAATACTCTGTAATAATTCAATTATTGTTATAAATAATAAAATTCTTCGTAAAAAATTCAATTATTTAAAAAAATTGTAATGAATTTCTTCGACTGAATTTAATTATTTAAAAAAAAAAATGTTGATAAAATTATTTTTAATAGAATTTCAATAAAATCCCTAGAAAGATTTCAATTATTTTAAAAGAATTTTTAGTGAAATTCTGCGACAAAATTCAATTATTTCCAAAATATTCGATAAAATTTCTGTACAGATTTGAAGTATTTTTAATAATTCAAAATAAATTTTATTAATGTTTTTAAAAGTGTCTAAGTTTTAAAAATAATTGAATTATTTCGAAAAAATTCAATTAAGTTCAATAAATTTTTTTAAAAATTTGATAAAATTATTTATAATACAATTATTAAAAAAAAATTGATAAAATCATTTACAATTCAATTATTTAAAAAAAATTTGATCAAATTTTTTCATAACTCAATTAATTTCTAAAAAATATGATAAAATTTTCTAAAATTCAATTATTTTCTATAACAATAAAATTCTACGCAGCAATTCAATTATTTTTAATAGTTTTTAATGAAATTCGCCACAAGAATTCAATATTATTTCAAAAATTTGATATTAAATTTTTTAAAAGAATTGAATTAATTTGAATACAATTTCAATTAAATTTCTGTAAAGATTTTAAATATTTTTAATAATTAAAGTAAATTTTATTATTGTTTTTAAAGTCTAATTTTAAATAATAATTGAATTATTTCGAAAAAAATCCAATAATTCAATTAATTTTTAAAAAATTTTGATAAAATTATTTACAATTCAATTATTTTTAAAAAAAATTGATAAAACTATTTATAATTGAATTACTTTTTTTTAACAATTTGATAAAATTCTCTATAATTCAATTATTTTCTAAAATAAAAAAATTCTACGCAGTAACTCAATTATTTTTAACAATTTTTAATAAAATTCTCCCTCAAGAATTCAATTATTTCCAAAATTTTTGATTAAATTCTTTAAAATAATTGAATTTTTTTAATACAAGTTGAATTAAATTTCTGCAAGGATTTTAATTTTTTTTTTTCTTTTAGAATATAAATATAATAAAATAAATTTTCTCTTAGAATAGAATTTATAATAAAATAAATTTTCTCTTAGAATAGAATTTGTAATAAAATAAATTATTTTCTCTCAGTCAAATGCGATGATTATTTCCAATTTAATATCTAAATTGAATTAAAGTTAAAAAATTTATTTAAAATGTCAAATATCTAATTTCAGAAAAATTATTTATTGTTTATAATTATTTGTATTAATTTTGCAAAACGAAAAACGTTCTTTATTGTTTATTAATTATATTTAACAGTAAATTACCTTTTAACTATTAATTAAATTATTTAAATGGCAGTTATTATACCGGTCTCTGATTTTATTTGGTAGTCGGAATCAATATATTGTTTAAATTTAATTTTTACGATTTATACTTTACCTGATTATTTCGATAATTTTCAGTTGTTTTTTTGTCAATAATAATAATGATAATTCTGTGGAAGAAAGGCATAACAGCATAACTGACATTTTTATCAAATTTGAGATAACATCAGATTTGTATATATTTAATATTGCTCTTCAAAGTTCAATAGCTGAAAAATCATTAAAATGGTTATTAATGTAGAAAATAATGGAAAACATAATCGCATAATTGCGTTTTTGACAAAAGGAGACCAGCATAATAACATAACTGCATTCAGCTTAAAAAACAATTGACATAATTAAAAATGAAAATAACCTTTATGAATAAAAACAATAAGAATTTTGTAATAAAATGTTTTCAGTAAAATACATTTTTCGTACTTTAAAATAAATATATTTATTTTAATAAAACTGGAACAAATTTTTTATAGCATAAATTGTGCATTTAATTATGTACTAATTTTTAAGGGTATTTCTATTCTAAAAAATTTTGGAAAGTATTTAAAAAAATAAATTGAAAAATTCTTCAAGTTGAACAGTAAAGTAAATTTTTTCTTCGTTTCAATAAATTAAAAACATTTTATAAAAAATAAATTTTATAACTAAATAAACTCTTATAATTTTTTCTAACGAATTAATAGTTTAATTTGTCTTTGTATGAACAATTTTTTATTATGAAAAATCAAACCAAAATAAATTGTGACATTAAAAGTGTCTGAAGTTGGACTCATATACAATCTGAACTTGCATAACCGCATAAGTGCAATAAAACTCATGATTTCGATGAAAAATTATCAAAATTTATATCAAATCGTGTGTTTTATTAAATGTTATAAAAGAATTTTGAAAATATATTAAATAATAATACTAAATGCAAAAGACCGAACAAATCTGTTAATTTTCTGAATTGACAGAAGTGAGAGAACATTAAAATTAATTTATCTCGAAATCATGACAAATGCAGTTATGCTGTTATGCCTTTCTTCCACAGAATTATGAATATAATTAATCTATTTGTTCGTATTTCGTTCGTTTGTCTCTGACAGCTATTGACATATTTAGAGGTTAGAATCAGAAATGGTTTTTATATTTTATTTATTATTTATATACATTATAAGCATTTAGTATTTACGTTTACGAATAATTAATATTTAAACCTATTATTATTATTTTATTATTATTACCTATTATCTTTCAATATAAAAACAAATTTAAAACTTTATAACCTGCCACCTCTTATTTCGATAATATTTACATATGATTCTAATAAGTTTGCGCGATTCACAGCTCATTTTCATTCAAAATTTGAAAGATTCGTAACAGGAACATAGAATGATGTAAGAAGTGGCACAACTGTCGACCAATCAGAACTCTTCTTTAGATTTATAGTGGAATACGTAAAGTATATAGCCCGCGAAAATTTAAAATATCTTAAGGCAGCACTCTGATTGGTTGATAGACGTGCCACCTCTGTTTGTTTATACTGCTCCTAATACTTACCCCTAGAGTCGAAGGCTAGTTCTAAAGGAGCGTTCTGATTGGTTGACACTATGCCACTTCTCACATCATTCTATATTCCTGTTACGAATATTTCAAATTTTGAATGAAAATGCGCCAGTTATTTCTACAACGTATTAGGAGCTTAAAATAAGAAGTGGCTTGAAAAGTAAATAGTTTATAGGTTAGGAAATCTGTCAAAACAATAATCTGTCAATAATTATGAATGTGTTATGAATAATTAACATATAATTATCATAATTTTTCAAATAGCAAATAAAATGAGAAATAAATATTATATCTTATTTATGAGAAAAAGTGTTTTATTGATGAGAATAACTGTCATTAAATAACTATTACATTAAATTTATGTAATAATTCTTTTAGAAAATTAGAAAAAATGTCGCGACTTTTATTGAAAATAAACTCAAAAATATATAATATTATTTAATAAATTTTTAAAAACAATTGATTAATTACGATTAATTAATATTTGTTTATTGTTTTGCAAAATTCGAGTAAGTAAATGCAGAGTCGCAACTTTAAGATATAACCTCAAAAATGCAAAATTTAATAAATTCTTCTAAAGTAATTAATATTTAATAGGTATTTAATTTATTTATTTGCTAGTAATTAACATTTGTTTATCGTTTTACAAAATTCGGATAAATCTATTTAATTTATTTCAAAAATACACATTTTCACACATCGAAAATATATGTAATTTAATTTAAAATTATTTTTGAAAAAACTAAGAGCAGAGAAAGGAAAAAAGAAAAGAAACAATATTTATTTAATTTTTCTTTAATTTGTTTAATATTTATTAGCAATTTTTTTCTTTTATATAAAGATATTAAAAAATATTTTCAGTCCATTAGAAATTACCACACGGTACATTATATATCACATAAATAAATGAAGTAAATGAAAAATTTTCACTTACAATATTTTTTTCTGGCACCAGAAAATAATTTTCATTTTATAAAATATCTAAATTATTAAATGCATTTTTGTACTAAAAATAGTACAAAGATTATCACACTATTCTTCTCATAACAATTATTCATTTTCCAAATTTTTTTCAATTCTTTGTAAAAGAATTTTCGCAATATCCACTTTCTTTCCCTTTGCGTCATAATCTGAAAATAAAAATTCAAATTTGTAATTTTATGAATTTTCGCATAAAAAAAACAATTTTTGTACAAGAAAAGAATTTTCGCACAATCAAAAATTTTTTTACAAGAAAAGAATTTTCGTACAACAAACAATCTTTGTACAAAAAAAGAATTTTCGTACAAAAAAACAATTGTTTGTATTAGAGTATATGTAAAGTAAAAATATTTTTGAATGTATATATTATCTTGATTAGAAAAGCAACTTTTGAGATTAAATTTATTTACAAGGGAAAAAAACTCTTACCCTCGTAGTAAACTAATTCACATAAATCGCGACAATCTGGATTGTCATTTAGAAGATTTTGTAAAGTTGTACAAAAGGATTTTCTAATTTCATTTTGAAATTCTCTGTACGTGCCTGAAATTAAGAAAAAAAATTAAAAATCAGAAAAATTAATAAAAAATTAAGTATAAACATTAATGAAATAAAATACTCGAGTATCTGTGAGATTGTTGTTTAACTTCAAAGAAGGTCAACATTGGAGTAGCTCCTTCAGTAACAATGTGAATGGTATTTTTCTGTCCACTTCCTAATCCTCCTGGAATTATTTTATAAATTGTATTTTTATAATGACGCTTATAAACGCCTGCTCTATTTTGCTGCAATACGTCATAATCAAGACCCTGTAACAAAAAATAAATAAATATAAAAGTCTATACATATATCATTGCATTCATGCAAAGTATTTATCAAAAAATTTGAAAACAATTGAATTCCTTCGAAGAATTTTATTATTTATGAAAATAATTTATTGAATTCTTTCGAGAAAATGTTATTAAAATTGTATTGAAAATAATTTAATTCCTGGCAAGATTTTTATTAAAATTCTTTAAAATAAATGAATTGTTTTGAAGAATTTATTTCCATTTTCTTGAAAATAATGGAGTTGTTTTAAATAATTTTTACAGAAAATTTTAAAAGTAATTGAATTTTATCAAGAATTCAATTATTTTTGATAATTGTAATAAAATTCTTTGCAAAAAGTCAATTTATAAATAATAAAAATCTTCGTGAAAAATTCAATTATTTTTAAATAAATAATAAAAATCTTCGTGAAAAATTCAATTATTTTTAAATAAATAATAAAAATCTTCGTGAAAAATTCAATTATTTTTAAATAAATAATAAAAATCTTCGTGAAAAATTCAATTATTTTTAAATAAATAATAAAATTCTTATCAGGATTTCAATTATTTTCAATACAATTTGAATTGATTCCTTCTTAAATTTCAATTATTTTTAAAAATCTTGTAAAAGTTCTCCGAGAAAATTCAATTATTTAAAAAACTTTAAATAAAATTCAATTCAAGAATTCAAATATTTTTAAATATAATGAAATTGTCGCTGGAATTCAATTATTTTAAATACAATTTAATTTTTATTTTTGTATTTCTTATTTGTTATTTTAAAATACAATTCCATAGGGAAAATTAAATAATTTTGATACAATTTTTTAAATTCCTGGAAAGAATTCAATAATATCAATAAATAGTACATATTTCACAGGAATTCAATTATTATAAATACCATTTTAATTAAATTAAAAAAATTAAATAAAAATTTACATATTTTTTCAAATTTCGCAAAAATTCAATTATTTTCAAAAATAATTAAATTGTCGATGTATTAAAAATCATTGAATTTTTGTAAAGTTATCAAAAAATGTGAAAATAAATGAATAATTGAAAAAAATTATAATTTAATTTTTAGCAAGATTTTTATTAAAATTCTTTAAAATAATTGAATTTTATTGTTTTGAAGAATTTCCTTCAATTTTCTTGAAAATAATGGAATTTTTCAAAAATAATTTTTACTGAAAATTATAAAAGTAATTGAATTTTATGAATTAATTTTAAGTTTTTAAAATAATCGTGTTTATCATTAATATTAATTAATAATTTTCCTATTAAATTATATTAAAATTATTCATAGAAAATTTAATTCTTTTAAATAATTTTATTTGAGTATTTGTAAATAATTACATTCTTTTTAAGAATTTTATTAAATTTCGTAAAAATAATGTAATTTTTAAAAATAATTTTAATAAAAAATTTGGAAAATAATTGAAATTTACAAAGAATTTTAAAATGTTATTACAATTTTCAAAAATAATTGAACGTTTTAGAGAAACTTTTTAAAATTATCTTGAACATAATTGAATTTAAATAATATTTTTAAAAATAATAAATTGTATTCTTTCGAAAAATTTTATTAAAATTGTATTAAAAATAATTAAATTTCTCAGAAGAATTTTATTATTTACAAAAATAATTGAATTCTTGACAAGAATTTTACAATTTATAAAAATAATTGAATTGTTTCAAAGAATATTATCAGAATTGTTGAAAATAATTGAATTTTTATTAAAACACTTGAAAATAATTGTATTCTTTCGTGAAATTTTATTAAAATTGTTTAGAAAATAATTGAATTCCTCCGAAACATTTTATTATTTATCAAAATAATTGAATTTCTTTGTAGAATTTTATTATTAAAATTTATGGAAATATTTTAATCTTGCGAAGAATTTTCTTATTTATTAAAATAATTGAATTCTTGCCAAGAATTTTACAATTTAGAAAAATAATTGAATTCTTTCGTAGAATTTTATCTGAATTTTTGAAAATAATTGAATTTCTTGAAGGAATTTTATTAAAAATTTTTTTTAAAAAATGAATTTTTTAAAAGAATTTTATAACATTTTATTTTTACTCACTTTGGGTATGACTTCAAGTTCATTGTTTGACAATTCGCCCAAATCTGTAGGTATGTAAAATGAATCCGGAATAAGAATAAATAATTTTTTCACAGGTACAGAAACATTATGTTTGTCTTCAAAATTTTGAATTCTCCCTTTAAGACCTTGAAAAAAAATAGAATAAAATTTATAGTAATTCAATACAATTCTATATCTTATTTAATTTAATTTAATTATATTAAAAGGGATAAAAAAATTTCAATAAATGCGAATACCTGTATGTTCTTTTCCATCTGGTGGAAGAATAATTTTTAAATAACCATAAAAATAGCTGCAAGCCATAGAACTTCCATAATCTAAACCTCCTAAATTATAAAAATCGTTTAGCTTTTGTGCTCTGCATTCGTTCTGTATCGAAATGTGAAAGAAATATTTTAAACTTATTTTTCAGAATATTAAAATTCAAATTAAATTTTTGAATTTAAAATTTTTATTTAAAATTGAAACTAATAATTAAAAGAACAATACTCACAATTTTTATTAAGTCCATTAATAAATACGAAAAACAAAGTGCAGAAAAAAAGGCGATTGCAGGGAAAGTGTATTTTTCTTTACACTCCAAAAACGAAAATGATGTTGAACCATTATGAAGATTTATAATCAGTGTCTAAAAAGATATACAAATTTTAATAATCATTATTCTATCAAAAAATTATTTATTATCTTAATTTTTATTTAATTATATATTTATGATTTTATTTTATATTTTTTATAGTAATTTAATTTATACTTTAATATAATAATAATTTATTAATCATTATATATTTATCATATTTTTAATATTTTTATTTTAAGAATTAATTTCCTATTTAAAGAAAAATAAATTAATTCAATGAAAAATTTCTACTCACCAGAAAAGCAGCAATAACTAAAAAGATGATTGTAGTCGAAAGATTATTAAATGAAAAAGATGTTTCAATAATTTTCATCAAATTTCCTTCAGGTTCAGAATTAATTTTTACTAAATCATCAAAAAAATATGAAAATCTCTTCACAAATTCAAGTATTATTAGAATTGTTGTTGATATGATTAGAAAGTAACCTGAAAAATAAACAATTTTTCAAATTATATAAAAGATAATCAGTAAATTCATATAAATGAATAATTGAATGGAACTATTATAAAACAATAGAAAAGAAACTAATTAAAAAATAATTATATTTTTATAAAAATAAAATATAAATTAAATTGATTATGAAACAATGATATAAGAGAAATTATTTATAAACAAAATAATATAAAAGAAACTAATAAAATAATAATTATAAATTCATAAAAAAAAATATAAATGAAATTGTAAAATAGTAATAAAAGAGAAATTAATTTTAAAACAATGAATCTAAAGGAAAAGAAATTCAATAAAAATAATTAATAACAATTTTTTAACTTACAAGTTTCTAAAAATACCTTTCGTAAATTGGCCTTGTATAAACAATAAAAAGACACTGTTAACAAAAAAAAAGAAATTAAATTATTATTAACGATAAATTGCAATTTCAAAATAATAAATTTGAAAATAATTATTAAAATTACCATTTATAGAAATAAACATGAAAATCAAGGGGAATTTATTTTGCTCCGGCTCGACCACCATTGAATCTGTTTTAACGGAATTATTTGCCATTTTTGTTCTTTGATGATAAAAACTGAAATATTTCAACATTTTAAATCGCTTTATTATAATTTCTTATAATCTTTTTTTTAAATTCTATAATTTTTTTCAAAATTGATTATAAATAAAATAAAAACAAAACTAATTAAATTTTACTTTTCTATAAAGTTTTTTTTAAATAAAATAATAAATAAAAAATTTTTTGCCATTACCTTCATAATTATCACGCTAAATTTCTATGTACGTAGTTTTTTCTTAACTACAGTAAAATCCGGCGATACTATCCAGTTGGAAACTACTGGTATACAATACGAAACTATACATCTCGACTTCTTTTCAGACCACATTATATTCTTCATAGCATGAATTTGCAGAGGTCGATTCCCCCTTTAGGTTCCACAGTGTCTAAAAATAAAATAAGGCATTAGTAAAAATATACCAGAAAGAAAAAACAAAATTCTTTCTGAAAAATAAATTTTGAGACTTATAGATAAAAAATTAAAATAATTATTTTAATTAGTTAAATAATCTTTAACGTACGAGATCCTTTATAAATAAAGGCAAATAAAACGAAAACATTCGGACAATGAGAATAAAATATTTATTTACTCCAACGTTTTGAAATCTAAATAATTTCCTCTTCAGGGAGTCTATCCAAAAAATATATAATTTGTTACTAATTTTTAATAGTTGAGTATAAACTTTAGTAATTTTTTAGTATTTTTCAAAATTTTTCAATTTTCAAATTAAAAATAATTAAAAAATATTAAAAATCTTTGAGAATAAAATATTTTTTAGTATTTTTCAAAATTGAAAATTGAAAATAATTGAAAAATACTAAAAAAAATCTTTGAGAATGAAAAAAATCATTTTTATTCATATTTATTATAAATATTAACTAATTTTAATAGTTGAGTATAAATTTTAGTAATTTTTTAGTATTTTTCAAAATTTTTTAATTTTTAAATTAAAAATAATTGAAAAATACTAAAAATCTTTGAGAATAAAATATTTTTTAGTATTTTTTAAAATTGAAAATTGAAAATAATTGAAAAATACTAAAAAATCTTTGATAATAAAATAATTTTAATTAATTCTGATCATAATTATTAATTAATTTTAATAGTTGAATTTAAATTTAAAAAGTAGTTTTATTCAGTAATTTGTTTGTATTTTGCAAAATTAAAAATTGAAAATAATTTAAAAATAGGAAAAAAATCATTGAGAATAAAATAATTTTAATTATTTTTAATAGATGGATATTAATTTTAGTAGTAATTTTGTTCAGTAATTTTTTAGTATTTTTCACAATATTTCTCAAAAAAGAAAATTGAAAATAATTGAAAAATACTAAAAAATCTTTGAGAATAAAATAGTTTGTACTATTTCACAAAATTGAAAATTGAAAATAATTGAAAAATACTAAAAAATCTTTGAGAATAAAATATTTTTTAGTATTTTTTTAAATTGAAAATTGAAAAATACGAAAAATCTTTGAATAAAATAATTTTAATTAATTTTTTTAATTAATAATTAACGGTAATTTAGAAAAAAAACGTATTTATAAAACAAAGAAGACATTGAATTTTTGCTTTTATCGATTAACCGTCATCATCATGCAACTTAAAATGTGTCAAGTTTATTTCCAGAAATCCCACTCGCTTTATACCATGTGTAAATATTTTCGTTCCCTTGAAAATGAAAATAATTTTTAATTCAAGAAAAATCGATTTGAAAATTTTTCGATACACTTGTTTTGAAATTTTTCTAATAAATTCCAAATGCGGTAAAATATTTTCTATATTATTATAACAAAAGATTTGTACTCGGATTTGTATTTATAATTTAGTGATTCAAATGCACAATATAGAAATAATTTACGTCATCAAAAATATTGAGTCATATTTCTGATTACATTGTTATATTCTCGAAATAAAAAAAAGTTTCTCTTTGAAAAATAAAATATATGACTAATACTTTCGTAAAAGAAAAAGCCGTTTTTCAAATAAGAGAGGAAGGAAGGTCGAGAATTAAAATTTCAATAGTAAACCAGTTCAGGTATATATTCTCTATAGGTAGTAAAAGGGACAAGGCAAAATTTGTCCGTTGCTTCGACAAAAACGTACTTTTAACGTACGAGCTACGGATTCTCACACAAAATATTCTATAAAGAAAACAGCGTTGCCAGATAAATTTTCTCGCCTTTCAAACGACTTTTATTTTGCAATTTGCTTTCCATGCAATGCATTTATTTTATCTTTTAAAACTTTCTAATTCTCATGAAAAAATAATTACCTTTTTAACTGAAAGAAAAACGTTCTATTTCTTTTTCTTTCGACGTCTCATATTTTTATTATATTATTTATTTTTAATTCTTCTTTTGTTATTTATTTTCTTCCTTTTATTTACCGCTCCTTAATTAAAAAATCTTTTTGTTTCGTTTCTCTTCAAAAGCCACTGTGGAAAAACCGAGGAAAAACTCAACAAATGCATGGAAAACGATCGAAAAAAAACAATGCGTTTGCAGGTCGAAACAAGTTTCGTTTTTACTTTTATGTTACAAATTTTTTGTTCAAATTTTCCAATCGTTAAAAACCCTTTTCAATTTACATTTATACTAGAATTGTCAATTTTTACAAGTTATTGATAAAAACGATAAAAACCTTTCTATTTTTCAAATAAATTTTTTCTCAAGAAAACAATCACGAATTCATGATCACTGGAAAATTTGCATTAAAAATAGAAAAAATTAGCTAAATTGGAAAACATTGGAAAGAAATGTTTAATTTAATTATTAAAGATAAACGACAGGAGATTGCAAATATAACAAATGAAAAACAAAACCAACAAAACGAACAAACGTTGTCGAACGTTATGGAAACATAACCTCAAAATTTAATTCTAAGAGCGATAAAGTTAAAATCTTATTCTGACCATTGTTTTTCGATTCATTTTCATTGTTTTAAGAACTTGTTATTAATATTTAAAGAATTCATTGTTATTTAGAAAGCAAACTTGACAACACTGTATTTTAGCAGATGACGTTGAGCAGCTGATGAAAGCGTCACTTTAAAAAGAGAAGATGGAAGGGGGGCGGCCGTAGAACAACTTCCTATACAAAAACTATTGTTTCGAAAAAGTATTGATTTTCTACTAATTTTGTCATTTTTTCACAATTTTAATAAATAAATCACTATTTCAATTGTTTGGTACTAATTCTGAATTATTCCCTCAATGCAAAATGGGGTGATTTTCTTGATAAATCCAAATAAATGTTGATGATCACAGGGACTATTTTCTGCGCTAAGGCGTAATAACACCACGAATAAGGAAAGCGTCACCTATAAATACCCCCACTTTCAAGACTCGTCAGGGCATTCCAGGCCAGTCTGCAGACGACGTAGGTTGTATCTCGCTTGTTCTAGTTTTTTTTAAATCTCTTTTTAAAAAAAAATTAGTCAGTTTTTTTTAAATAATTTGCGTTGTTGGAGAGCCTCCGGGTCCTTCACGCCGAGAAACACAAGCTAGATACAGGTTGGTGTAATTATTTTCTACTTAATCGCAAGTGTATTTTATATTTTCAAGTTTAAAAAAACGAATTCGGTTTTAAAAAAAAGAGTTAATTTGTTGTGAACAATAAAAACTAATTTTTTGCGGAAAAAGTAATTTTTCGGGAGTGAAAAAAAAAATCGATAGAGACGCGATTCGTTTTGCCACGTCATCATCATCATGGGCGCGACGTATTCTCCATCTGAGCAACCAAGTAAAACGGAACAATTGGCAAATTGGATAAGTCGTGTGCGTTCGAAGAAAATAATGCGTCGTCGCAATCGAAGACGTGATTTACGTGTGGAAGCTGTATTAACATCGGCATTATTCAAGGCCGAATTTGAATTGCGCACAAAGCAACGCTTACGCAATATAAAATGGCAGGAGCTGAAAAAGGAATTGATGCTCGATTACAAGCAGTGCAGTGACTACACAAATTATTTACAATGTCAAGAAATAAATCCATGGAAGGAGCCAGTCTGCGAGGAATTGACAAGTTTCAATGAATTTATGTCGCAATTGGGCGAAATAAAAGTTCCTGTTGCACGATGAAGAATTTTTTAAAGGATCTCTCAAAATCCAAAAGAGAGGATTTCTCCTGAATGGCTTGAAAAGCCTTTGAAGCCGGAAGTACCCGGACCGGAAGAAGCAGTTCAACGGGCGGAAAAAAAGAAGATTGGACGACGATCGCGTGTGAATTTTTTCGAGAGAAAAAAAGAGTGCTGCGCCGCCTATGAAAAGCGGGGGCAATAAGTGACGTCACTTGAGTGTTGATTGCGTATTTTTTAATTGCAGTCTCGCCGTTTGCGATGGCAATGGAAAGGAGGGCGGGAGTCGCTGTTTCCGTTTCCGAGGAAGCCTGGGGGATGCCTGGAAACCGAGACCACGCACCGCTGCTCCCGAGTGTCGTGTTTGGTTTGTAAAATCGTATCGAAAACCAAAGTATATTTTTCTTTTTCTAAAATTTTTTTTTTGGTAAATTCATTCAAATCTGAAAAAAAATATAAACTTTTTCAACTTGAAGATTTCATTTTTCTAACTACGAATTCTATATTCTTTATATAAAAACCAAGTGAATGAAAAATTTGAATTTTGTGAAGAACATTTTTTCTCAATTTAAAACGGAGTATTATTTTTTGAGACTATAGTAAAAGAAAAAAAAAAGTGGTTACCGATGTATTTTCATGTTTTATAGAGAAGGAGTTACGAGCAGTTTTTTTGGAATAAAAATGATTTTTCTACTTAAAAGAAACTTAATTCTTCAATGTCTATTAATGTCATCCCTCGTTTTCAGTTACTTGTTGTGGAAGAGCGTTGAAAATATCGTCAAAGATCGGAAGAAAGAAAGAGAGAGAGAGAGAAAGAGAGTTTATTTTGAGAGAGAGGGAGGGGAGAAATTCTATTTCTAGAAGCTCGAGAAGGACCCGATTTATTCACACGATTGCAATTTAAAAAACCCATCTTCGCACTTTATTTATCACGTCCTTGAGGAAAAGCGTGTTTATCGTCCCTGAACCGAAATTCCCCAAATACAAATTTGCTTCATCATCTGGGGAAGAAAGAGCTTTTGCTTGGCGAACAACAACGAGGTACTAAAAAAAAATTTGCATGAGTTTTTTTTCGTCGAAAATTTTTTTTTTTCCGATTTTTGGGAATATTTCTCGGGAAGGAGGATTATCGCCTTGAAAGGCGAGGAGAGATTTAACACTATTTTCACAGATACGGCAAAAAGTTTGTGAGGTGTGAGCGCTTGCGGCCAAAGGTTTAGGACCTAAACTCTCATGGTTATCATCTGTAAGTCATTTCCTTCATCTGGCTTTTATTTTTTTTTCCCATAGAGCATTTTCGGTTTGTTCAAAAGGTAAAACCGATATTTTTTAAATTAGTACAGAATTTTATGAATATTTCAAGAAAAAGATGTATTTTACCTCTTGGAAATTTTTTTTTTCCAAGAATTAAATTTGTTCTCTTTTTCTTGAGATCCTTTTTTTGAAACTTGTCGATTAAGTGTTTCAGTCTTGAAAAAAAAAAGATTTGGAAAGTATCGGTTCGATAATTTCAAAAGTGTTCAAGAAGTTCATTGGACGAGAAACGAAAGAAAGGTTTTTTATCGTCGGAAGAAAATTTGCAACAGGAAAAATCGCCGGTATGCCGAATCGAGAAGGAACCGTAAGCCGAGTTGTTAATTTTTTTGTAAAAAAAAATTTTGTCTTTGGGGAAATTTTTTTAGCAGGGGGGGAAATCGTTAAGAATGTTTTTTTGTGTCTTAGGACAAAGATTTTGAAAAAGTAGCCACGAAACAGAGAGGCAGGAAAATTTCGAGAAAAAGCGGAAAAATCGAGAGCCGAAAAAAAGCAGAATGGAGGTTTATAATTTCTTAATTCGTCGGGGTTAAAGGGGAACGGGGGTTACTAAGGTATTTGTGTTTAAGATTTTACGAGTCTACACGAGAAGAATTCGAGGGTCACACGAAGAGAAACCGGAGTTTTCCCTGTGTTTATATTATAGCTCTTGACGAAAAGAAGGTATTTTTCTTTTAAAAAATTTTATTTGAACCTGGGGGGGGGGGAGAAAATTGTTTTTTTTTGAGTCGTAGGAGAAACGAGTTTCACTGACGAGGAAAAATCAAATTGAAGTCTTTAAAAACAGTGTATAATGAAAGAAATCCGGAGAAAGGTATCAAAAAAATGGAAAAGATTCGGGGGGGGGGTTATTAACGTTTTTTCCCCGCAGAAAACCAGACCTGGAGGAAGACGGTCGTCGAAGCTCGCTCGTTCGCTTCTTCCCCTCGAAAGCATGTGCACAATTTTTTACCGATTCTCGCTAATAAACACACACTCACAACCTCGCCGAAAGGTAAACATCAAATTTTTTTCTCAACCCTCGGAACCCGGGACAAGGCAAGAATTTTTATTAAAGGATGAAAATGTACCTCGAGATAAATTTTTCAATAAGTAAATTCAACCGGGCAGCAGTTCAAAAATGGAAATTGGCTGAAGGTAATTTTTTTGCACTTTTTTCCATAAAAGAAATTTCTTTTTCCTGCACAGGTATCGGTTTTTTCCGTAATGAAATTGTTTTTCTAATTTAATATTTAAAGAAATAATTGTAGAGCATGTCTGATGCAATGTTGCCTTTTAGGTTTTTTTCTGGCAGAGGAATTTTATAATGTTGCTTGTGAATAAGAACAACTCGGATAATTTAGAAACACACGTAGATTATTTTGCTTTAAAAGAGAAACTAACCAGGACAATTTCTTCTTCATATGAAAAAAAGAAAATCATTTTTAATAATCCAGCACCTGATGTCATTTTTTTGCCTGAGAGATGTTGCTGAAAACTTATCGATTTGCACCCAAGCTTCTTTATCATAAACACAACTCTTCTATATAAGTATTTGTGCAGTGAGAAGATAATTTTTCGTGACAACGTTTTTCATTTTTTTCTTCTTTCTCTAATTGCAAAAAAATTGTTTGTAATTGTTCGACATGCGAAGCTTTTTGAGAGACATGAATATTGTTAATAATAGCGATTGACTAATTTCACACACATTTTTTTATAATGAAAGCAACAATTGAATGTTTTTCTTTTATACCCTGTTAGAAAAATGGTGAGTGGAAAATGCGGAGTTTTTCTTATATTGTTGTGTATATAATAACTAGATTTTAGATTATTAATTTTTATTTTAACTCTTTTTCTGAGTTTATTTTCAAGTCTTGCGTAATATTTGCGTATATAATTGTACGAAATGTTTCGAAATTCTCTAATAAATCACGCTTTATGCATTGGGGTTTGGGGATTGGGGAACACTAATCCATCAAAAAGTTTCAAAGAATTTTCAGGATTTAGGAAAGGATCTCTGTTTTCCAATTAGAAAAATATTGCCAATTTCTATCGACGTGGATCAAAATTTCTGTGACCGAAGATTTTTTTAAACTAGGAGAGTGTCGTCATCAAGTTTTATTTTTTTGAGAAGAGTGTGAAAGTTTTGTTTCGTCAAAAAAAAGTTTCATCACATATTTCCAAATTTGAGTTTCGAAGAGTTAAAAAAGAAAGTTTCTTGGTGAATTTTGTCGAGTGCCATTTTAGTGAGCGAATTGATTAGCAGACGGATGATTTTTTATTAATATTTGCACAACATGAAGAGAGGATGATTTTTTGGGATTTCTGAAGATTGCAAAAAAAAATTAGCAGGACGGAGAATTTTCAACTCAATTTCGTGGCGAATTTTGAAAATGAAGCGAGACGAAAACCTTAATGCGAGACTGTAAGTCTTTCCAAGTATTCGAATTTATAATCTCTTCTCTTTTTAGAATTTTTCAAAGGTTCTATTCATGAAATGAATAACGAAAAAATATTTTTTTATAACATTGGAGAATATTTTGAATTTCAACAAATATTTATAAAAAAAAAATTTAAATTGCGTTTTTTAAATATAGAAGATAATGAAGATATGAAAGAAAATATGAAGCTACGTAGATTTTTTATGAAAATTGCAATTTCTTATTTTTGCTCGGAAAATATTTTGTTTAAAAAAAATTAATTTAGCGATTTTGAAATGATGGAAGATAATGAAACTACAACAAAAAAATATGCAGCTATGTAGATTTTTATAACTTGCATTTTCAATTGCAAATTTTATTTCTAATTTTGACACGAGAAAAAAGAAAATAGGAATTATACTGAAGACAGAAGATGTGCATAGTAAATGAAAAATGAAGATGCAAATTTGCCTCACGTGGAAAAGATTATTTTATATTATCAGAAAAAATCTAGTAAGTTTTCGAATATTTTGTCGTAAATTTGGAATTTCTTAATCAATTCTTTTTAGAGTATTTCGAAGATCATCAGTTTTAATATTTTGAAAACAAAAGTTATTTGGTCGATTTTTACTATTTGAAATAAGGAAGATTATGAAGATATTTTGCAAGAAAAATGAAAGGAATTTTTATAAGCAAGAAATGAATTTGAAAGTATAGAAACGAATATTTTTTTGAGTTACAAACAGAAAGTATTTTGAAAAAGTTACGCAAGTATTTTAGAAAGTTATCCAAAGTATTTCAGGAAGAATATTGTGATATACAGCTAGAAAGGAAGAATTTTAAGTAAGAATTTAAAGGAAGATTAAAGAAAAAAAATATTAGGAAGATCGTAAGTTTTGAAAATTTCACAATTTTACAAATTTTTAATTTTTTGCAGAAAAATTTAAATGTTTTTTAGATGATTTTTTTAAAAAAAAATTTAGTTTCTTTTTGTCGAAGTAGAATAAAACTGAAGATGATGCGGATATAAATCGACATTTACCTTCTTTTTTTAATTTTCTCTTTAATATTTAATTTTGAAAAATTATTATTGATTTTGAAAAATTGATGATACAAAAACGTGATTTTAATATTCAGAAGAAAGAAGAATCGTCAAGTTTCAAATGAATTTTTATTCTTTATTTTTCGCTTTTTTTTCTTTTTTCTCTTGTAACCCGATTGTTTCAGGATCGATTTTAATAGCGGAAAATGGAAAATTTTATGCAGTTTTTTGGAACAAAAATTATAAGCGAAAATCAATCGAAAAAAAAAATTTTTTTAATCGAAAGGCAAAACTGGATCGAAGATAAAAATAACGGAAGATTTTACAACAGGATTTTTCTCGAATTTCAACTTTTTAGTCATGAAGAATAGTTTCAAGGACTTTATATTTCTATAGATAATTTTTTACGAAAGGAATTTTGCTAACAAAAGGAAATTTGTGTCGAAAAATATTTTATATTTCTAAAGGATCTTTTTTGAAGTTCAC